TTCAGGTAAAGTGATACTAACTCAGGTGTAGAAATGACTGACAGTAAAATATTAGAAGTACTGTCAAGATGCTTTATTATGCTAGATTTTGTTCTGTGAATCTGAATGAGACATACATCTAACTATAATGATTACAGAACTAATGACACAATATATTTTGACTATTTTGAATATTTTTGCCTAGTTTTTTAACTTAATATGTAATCTAGCAAATTAGTACATGTTGCACTAGTTATATTTGATTTTGCTTTTATTTTAAACTGAATAATATAATGCTAATCCCCTAGCATATTAGTGAAGCCTCTAGTATTCCTTTAACTAGAGATACATGTTGTGCTATACATGATGATGTGCCACACCATCTGCGCCCCCTTTTTCAAAATCTGAGATCCATGTACAGATGGCTAGAAGATTATGGGAGAAATAATGTTGGGTTTGTGTGATTATGGTAGACTTCTTATCTTTCCAGAGAGAGATTGGCAAGCAAATGCTATTAATAATTGTAAATGAGTCAGTTTTGAATGAGAACAGACAGGTTTCTCTATCAAATGGTTGATGAACTAGCGAGAAGTGAAACTATTTTACATTTTGTTTTAGTAAGCAGGAAGCTTCCTATAGAACTGCTAATTATAAAAAAAAATCTTGCGTTTATTTAGTTTATTTTAGTTCATTAGCAGGATAGATGTATAACTAAGGTTTTAGACTTTAGGAGCACATCCAGACAGGTGGGAACATTTGTTTCCCCAGGGGCAAGTAGCAGGTGCGCAAAGGGGGCCACTGCTACTTGTCCCTGGGGAATGCCTATGCCACATGTGCTCTGGCATGTGGCAGGTTACTCCAGGTGGGGTAAAGGAGGCTGGCCCCAACAGTCTTACCTCAGGTCCTGGGGGCCTTCAGGAGCTGCAGCTGCAACACTCCTCCAGTAGGAAGCCAGGCTGGCAGCTGCTGTGTCTCTGGCCCTCCAGGCTCTGGTTTTGGGCAGTGTGCATAGCCATCACATGCGCACCCTGCTTTTTTTTTGGTGTGGGGTTTTTTGATCCTGGTATCTCTGTGCAAAGTAGCAGTGCGGGGAACACCTGCATGAGCGGTGTGTGGCACCACAGATGGGTCTGTGGTGCCACATACCGCACGTCCATGCTCGTCTGGATGTGCCCCAGAAGGGAAACTTACAGGAACTCTTAAGAAGCTAGTAATATACTGGATCCAGGAGCTGAAGGATTTGAATGTGGTAGAGGCATAGGATTACTTCAAATCAAATGCACAACTATTATCTGAGGCTTGCATACCAAGCAAGAGGGGAAAAACTGATAGGG